ACAAATTCCATGACTTTTATCCAGTATGCAAGGCCATGCTGAACTCTACGTAGGCTGGACACAGCACAGCATCTTGTACTCATGGAACAAGTATACAATGGATGTGGGCTTCACTGCATAAAGTGTTTGCAACACAGGTACACCTGCAATCCAGCTTGTATGGATTACAACGTTCAGCTTTATTGCTGTTGTTTCTTAGGACACCTGAAGTAATGGGTGCCCAGTATTATTAAAATATTGCCTTTGCTCTATGTTGTCTAAAAGTAGACTCCTTTTGCTGGCTAATGAATTTCTATATATTGTGAGTTTTGTCTTTCAAGAACCTCAATTCTACATAGAAAAAGTAACTTTTCTAATTTTCAAAGTCTAATTCATGGCCCATCCAGAGCAGATTTTCTTCTCCTTGTACTTTATTTGATTTACTTATCTCAGCCTTAAACAGAAAGTAACTAGTAAAGACAAAATGACAAACAAGTAAAGGTTGACTGGAAAGATGAAATGAAAAACAAATGCCATGAAAAGACTCAGGAAAAATAGATTAATGATACAATATAAAATATTAATATTTATTTAATTACTGCTGACCCAGGTCAGTTTCCCTTAATACTTGATACCATTGACTTCAAATAAACTTTAAGCTATAATTATTAGCACATAACTATTTTTTTGATAGGGTGTAGGTGATGGATGGGATTAGGACAGAGTTGTAATTGTTTGTGAAATGCATACTGTGGCTTATTTCACTTTTAACTGCTTTTTCAAGGACAGCAGTCCAGTTGTGTTATTGAATTAATATTTATAACCACTTTTTATAGTATTCTGGTCTGGGAAATCATCACTACATATTTTTAGCTGAGATTTCTAGGTAAGGAAAGCAGTGGTTTGGAATGTGCAAATAAGATGTTACTATTTTCCAAATGTCCCTACTTGCAGTGGAGAAAGTAAGTTCATCAAGTGAAAGGAAAATTTGAGCTTTCACAGTGTGTGCTGTTTTTAGCTTGCTTCAATCTTTCAGCTAAGATTATACTAAACCACTCTTTCCCTTTTCACAAGTAGGCCTTGGAAACAGGCATGCTAAAATTAGTAGGCATGTTTGCATTTATGGCCTCTCCAAGCACAGCACTGCAAATAGCCTATTCCAGCTATGTCATTATTGTACAACGTAGTTGCTGGTTTTGTTTCTTTGTTTTGTTTTTAAGAAAGCAAATGCCATTCTTTACTACTTTTTATACATATCTTGAGGGAGGTGGGAGGCAAATAGATGAGGCCAGGCTCTTCTCAGTGGTGCGTACTGATAGGACAAGGAGCAATGGCCTGAAACCTGAACATAGGAAGTTTTGTACTAACGTGTGGAAGAGGAAGTGGAGAAATGGTTTTAAGTTGAGGGAGGGAAGATTTAGGTTGGATGTCAGGGGGAAGTTCTTTACAGAGAGAGTGGTGAGGTGCTGGAACAGGCTGCCAGAGAGGTTGTGGATGCCCCATCCCTGGAGGTGTTCAAGGCCAGATTGGATGGAGCCCTGGGCAGCCTGGTCTGGTATTAAATGTGGAGGTTGGTGGCCCTGCATGTGGCAGGGGGGTTGGAGATTCATGATCCTTGAGGTCCCTTCCAACCCTGGCCATTCAGTGATTCTTAGTGGTAAGGTTGACGGAGCATTGGAACAGGTTGCTATGAGGGGTTGTGGAGTCTCCTTCTATGGAGATATTCAAGACCTGGCTGGATGTCTACCTGTGTGACCTGCTGTAGGGAACCTGTTTGAGTGCTAATGTTGGACTCAATGATCTCTTGAGATCCCTTCCAACCCCTGCAATTCTGTCATTCTCTGACCCCTCGAAGCAGAGGTCTGGCTTTGTCAGGGTGCTTTGCTGGCCTGTCTCTTGCTTCAGCTTGAAGGAAGGTGGGAGGGCAGCATTATAAAAGCCAAATGCCTTTTTTACTTAAGTAAGATTGATGAGTGATTTGCTCAATGAAGACATCTGTAAAGCGAATCAATCATTTTCAACTAGAAATAGGTAGCAGGGCTTTAGTTGCATACAGTGTAAACACCAACACTGCCAGAAGAAATTAACTGCTGCAGCTAATCCTTGCTGGCCACATGCCATATCTTGGAACAGGATTCCTGGGGACAAACAGGTTTGGTGGTGGCCATGCTCACAATACGTGACAGACAAAGGACCCAGCAGGTGCAAGGCTTTGAATAGGGTCTTCAAGGCTGAAGTTTGGCTTATGAGCAGAAAATTAAATGAGGATTTTTCTGGAGGGTGTAACAGACCCGTTTGTATTATTAGGGTTTTTGTTGTGTTTTGGGTTTTGGGGTTCTTTTTTAAGGGAAAAAGAAAAAAAGCTTTTATTATTTACTTTCCAACGAGGAAAAACTTCAAGGAGCAGACAGGAGTTTCTCCTTTTTGCCACCAGATGTCCCTCCTGAGCAGGGAAATCTGCTGATCTGAAAGCAATGCAGGCGCTGTATACACGTTTTTTGAACACAGGAGAGGGAAAGGAAAGTCTGAGTGAAAGCAACAGTTACTGCAGAGTTTTGGACGGAGTAAGTGCTGAAATGTTTCCTTGGCAAGAGAAACATTTTGCCGGTAGCACTGTAACGTATGTTTAATTAAGTCCTAAAATGTGTCATAGCTTGCAGCATAATATACAGCTATCCTCCAGAGAACTAGGTATTCACTTCTCTTCTGAAGTGGGAACATCCTTGGCAGAAATGTGCGCTTTCAGATGGAAGGGATGTCTGAAATCCATAGCTGCAAATGACCAATGTAAGAAGACTTAATTCGTTCCTCCCGGAGTTGCTGGGTGCTGCAGTGACTTTTCCAGGTCTGGTAACGTTAGCTGAAACTCAAAGTGCAGCATTCATGTCTACACGTGAGAGGCATTTCCAGGGATTAGGAATCTACATCTCTGGGAAGCACTGCTGAAGAAAAGCCAAAGACTCAACAAAAAGGGCGATGACTTATGAAGGAGTGTGGTTAGCTTCCTAGAACCACCCAGGAACTTACCAAGAAGACAATTTAATAGGGAAGTACTTTAAGGTTCACTGTGTGCCCATGGCCCCAGGCTGCATCCAGCTCAGGTGCCCAGATGCTGTTATTACAGCCAACTGTTATTACAGCTGCTATTTACTTCAGAAACACACATGCAAGTGGAAATGCTCAAAATGTTTTTCTTTCAGAGGAAAAAACATAAAGGTGATGCACATTTGCTACTTAGCAGAAACGTGTGACATCTGCCCTCGAGTGTAAAGTCATCTGCCTGACTTCAAGGGGAACTGGGGACAGGTCATACTGGAGAGCTTGCTCTTCAGAGGTAGACATATAATATGGCATGTTCCTTTGTAGCTGTAAAAACAGGAAGCAGCAGCTATGAAGCTTTGCTGGAAAAAGCAATGTAAGCTACACCTGAACAGTCATGGCAACTGGGAAGTGAACAGCACAGAAGTGGCTCCTCACTCCCCTGACCACCCTGGGGTTGAAGTACCCACATGGGAAATCTTGTGGCATTGTGCTGACACCAGAGCTCCTCTACTTCTTCCCTGTCCTCTGAATACCCCTCACAAAGCAGAGAGAGAAAAGGCCTCCTTGGCTGGCTTAGGAGTGGTGTGGGAAAGTGTGTGCATTGAGTCCTCCTTTGGAGAGATCTTAAAAAATTTTCTTCCTCAGAAAGCTTTTAAGTAACAGCATTATGGTGTTCCTTGACTGGTGGAGTTAAAACACCCATGCATAACATAACTTGCACACAAGCAAATGCTCAGTGCAACCTTTGCTTGTGAACATAACATCTTCTGTCTTGAACATTCTCAGATGCGTCTCTGGGAAACTGAATATGAGCTTATTGCCAGACTCTGATTCTAATAAAGCTAATGGAAGTGTTGCCAGTGACTTCAAATGGTCACAGAGATACTACTCTCAGGGCCAACTCCTATGAAATTCCCCCAGTTCAAACCCTGAACTCTTCCACTGATTTCTGAGGCGCTAGCCTGCCTTTACTCATCCACCCCAAGCAAGACCCATGAAGTCAGAGACATGTGGAAGAGCTGTCTCTTGGTATCCCAATGACCACTAAAGAGCGGTGGTTCCCCCCCTCTATTTTATGAAGGATCTGAAATCAGAGCTGTGATCTACCAGCTTTGCTGTCAGAACAGGTATGTTCTTATACAGCTGTGCAGATCAGCACTTCGTTGACCAAGGCAGGAGGAGGTTGCCTGTGCTTAGGATGTACCAAGGGTCTGCGATAGGTTGTGTTTGTTATTCTCGGAAAAGGTGATAGCAAACAGCTCATCTATCTATCTTCGTAACGAAGGCTCCACCCTCCCTAAAGGTAGCAGAAGAGATGTGACGGCTCTAACGGCCCAAATCCCGCGTTTCATCTCGAAGCCCAAACCACAAACGACGCGGCCGGGCCGCCCCGCTCAGAGGCTGCTCAGAACCTCTGGCGGCTCACGGGGCCGCCCCTCCGCAACCTGCTGCTGCCGGCACGGCGCTGCGCCCACCGCTCCGCCCCGGGGCTGCGCTACCTGCGCCCTCGGTCGCTCCCCGCCCCGGAGGAGCGGCCCCCGCCCCGCCGAGAGGCGGGCGCGCTGGTGATTTGCCTCCGCCGCCAGCAGCCCGGCTCCGGCCAGCCCGCGGGGACCGGGGCTGCGGCCGCAGGCGGCAGCCGCTCGCTCCCTCGCTCGCAGCCCGGCTGCGCTGGGGAAAAGTTTGCTCCTCGTCCTCCTCTTCCTCGTCGTCGTCCCCGCCGCGCAGCAGCCCCCGGGCATGGCGAGCTGAGCTCAGCCCTGCAGCCGGGCCGGGGGCGGCCCCGGCGCACCTGAGCGGCGGCGGCGGGGGGCTCGCAGCGCGCTGCCCCGCGGGCGGCCATGCGCGGCGGGGGCGGGGGCGAGCGCTGAGCCCCGCCGGCCTGGCTGCCCCCCGCCGGCCCATGCGCTAGGAGGGCCGAGGGCGGCGGGGAGCCCCCGGGGACAGGGGGAAGCGGGGAGCTCGCCCGGCCCAGCGCCATGCCGCGGCGGCTGGCCTGGCTGTGCTGCTGCTGGGCGCTGCTGAGCGGCGCCTGCCGCCCCGCCGAGCCGCCGCCCGCCGCCGCCGCCCCGAGCTTCCTCTACCGGCGGCTGAAGTCGCACGAGAAGCGGGAGATGCAGCGGGAGATCCTCTCCGTGCTGGGGCTGCCGCACCGTCCTCGCCCGCCTCCGCGGGAACCGCCGGCTCCGCCGCCGGGACGGCTGCCGGCAGCGCCGCGCTTCATGCTGGACCTGTACCACGCGCTGGCCGAGGGCGCGGAGGGAGCCGCGGGCGCGGAGAGGAGCGGCCGCCCGCAGCCCCCCGCTCCGGCGCCGCCGCTGCCGCCGGTGCCCAGCGCGCAGGACAGCGCCTTCCTCAACGACGCCGACATGGTGATGAGCTTCGTCAACCTGGGTGAGTGCCGAGCGCGAATAAAGCGAAACTCAAAAAGAAAAGGAGTATTTTGGCTGTCCGCGGTTAAGCCGCTCCGTGCGAGGTGCGGCCGCCGGTGCTCAGGGAGCGGCCCTCGGCTGTGCCTCGTGTCCACGCAGCTCCTCTGGGGCCGGCGGAGGCGCTGCGGGGTGGGTACGGGACAGTTCTTCTGCTGTCCGAGCCGGGGAAAGCGGTAGAAATCTTGCAGAAGTTCTGCCAGATGCCAGCCCTGCTGTTCGGGTGAAGCGCGGTCCTGATGCGAAGGGCTCCGTGCCGGGAAGTTCTGTGGGAAAGCCGCTTAACTTAGCACTTGAAGGAGCCCTGAACGCTAGCCCGCAATTAGAAGGGAACAACGCAATTAGATTCAGCCTAATGTGGAGAGGGAAAATATTTCAGTTGGCAAGTGGCAGTTCCTTTTTAAGTGAGTTCCTGTGAAGCTCGAGCGTCTCAGCGCGGCGGCCGAGAGCCGGACAGGGCTGCACTTCGGGCACCTGCATGTAGCTCGCACCGATGTTAGTGTTGTTTCCTCACCCATAGCAATGATGTATCGCTGCAGTGGGAAATGTATCCAAGCTAGCAGGGTGGTAGGTGTATTTGGTAGCTCGGTACTGCCATGTAGGTATTTAGAGCAGATTTAGCCTCGCTCCCTGGGCTGGGAGATTTCGGTATTCAATGGGAATCCCTCTCTCCTGCAGTGCCCTCCGTGAATACGAGAGTTCTACGGGCAAGCAGAGCTGCTGCTCGTGACTTAATTGCCTTGGGGGCTTTGGGGACCTGTGTGTGGAACGATGTGAATTTGATAAGCGCGGTGGCTTTCTGTGAGCCATCCCCACTGTATTACTGTGAGGTGCAGGGCAGCTCCCAGAGGGGCTGATATCATGGAGAAATGTGGGCATGCAGCGTTTGTTGGTGTGTAGCACCCTGCATAATGGGGCAGCTGGTGAGCAGTATTAGACAGTAGACCTGGAAAACCTTGGGTTTTGTTATTATTATTAGGAAATAAAAACATCCGTACGACTCAGATCGGTTCTAATAATTTGGGTCTAGACACTTATGTAACAGCAAGGAAAATTATTCCTGTAGCATAGAAGAGCAGCGCAATAGAAACACTGATTCCGAGTCTCAGGAAGTATGAATCAACTGCAGAAATTTCTCACCGACTTCCAAGTTCCGAGTCATAAACCTTCGTGTCATTGAACGCAATTGTTTGTTACCAATGAGTTCAGATTGACGGATGGAAACCAAACAATGGCTCAGTTGTTTTCTGTTCGGTTTGAATTAGATTCTGAAGAGCTTTGCTTGTATCCAGCCTTGAAGAGTTGCCCTTCCATTACTGAGGTGACAGCTACCAAAGACGTTTTTTCCTTCTTTTTTTCAATCAGAAGGGTACATCACCTTCAGTACTGCGTCTGCTGCAGCACAGATCTGGCCAGGAAAGTGCTTCACCTGATAGCTGGAGGTTCTGCTTGGTTGTGTGGATTTGTGAGGTGTGGGCAGTGTTTCCCTGAGGGTCTAACTTCAGGAAAACGTGGGAAATTCAAATTTTCTAGGATATGCTCAGCACTTTGCTTTGAGAGACACCTGCTAAGTATCAGGTTCTATTACAAGTGAAGAGAAAAAAAGGTTTTGATATAAAATACTGGTTACAGCAGGTAAACCTGCTTCCCACTATGGGAAGATGATCCCCAAGGCATCTATTTCAGGAATATTGCCTGGGATAAAGCACTCAGAAAACACATATTTCTGTCAGTTTCCCACTTAAGAGGGCTCAATATTGAACTCAGGTAGAAACACGTGTCTAAATTCTGTGCTGAGGGTATGGTTGTACAGCAGGGGCTGTGTTGCCAAGGCAGCACGGTGGATCAGACAATACCCCAGTGAAACTGTTGCTCTTCAGGAGTATCCTTGGATGAATGTAGACACTGGCATGGCTTGACACAGTACTACTGGGGATAACAAACTGTTTGTATAATATATCTTCCTCATGGCACTAATAGGGTTCTCTCCCCTTTATCCTCTTGGAATGGCTTGGGGTTGGCGTGGACATCTCTCTTTGAGGGAGTGATGCTAGGCTGACAGCTAGACTCAGGCTTACTTCTAGGTCTGTCTTAGTGAGGGATGTACCAAGTCCCTTGCAGCAACCCTACTCTAAGCTCAGGAAGATAAGGGCAAAGGTCTCATGCTTGGACCTGCAGGCTCGAGCTGAGGCTGTGACTGTCCAAACTCCCTTTGGTTTCCTTTGAATCCTCATTGCTAAAACAGGAAAGAGATGCTCTCCAGACCATATTTTGCTAGCTGGCACCTTTAGAGAGCAGTGCATGCCATTTGTAGCAGCAGAAAGAAGACCCTCAAAGGCTCTGTTACTTTAAGTGTATGCAGAGTTACTCCCTGTATAATGAGAGGAACAGTGGGGATCAAGACAGGGAAGAATCTTATCTGGTCCCTCATCCATGCAGGTCTCTATGCAGGCATCCACAGTGGGAAGAAAACGTGTCCTTCCACTAAGGGAAAAAGGGAATGCAGTAACAATCTTTGTGGATTTCTGGTGTGGCCCAAATCTGTGGCTATCAACAGCTAAACAGCAATGCCAGAAAAGTCTGAACTAATCCAAATTCCTGTGGCAAGCACTGTAGAAAGTGCACTTTTGAAGCATAGTGCTGGGTCATTATTGTTACGTATTGTTCCTTCTTGCGGCAAACTACCAGCATCTCTTGAATGTCTCTCTCTTTACTTTTGTGAAAAAAGGCTCTCTGCTTTCTCTCAAAACCTAAACCATCCTTTAAGCCCTTCTGCATGATTTGAGTTGTGACTGTGATGAAAAGTTTCTTAAATGTTGGAATCCCTAAAACCCAGGCAATCACAGTCTTCCCTGTATGGTTTCACATACCTGGAGAGCTGCATTTCAGTGCCAGCAAGCCAGTGCATGGCTGGCTGTGCAAATACTCTCTCTCTCCTTGCTTGCAAAGCAGTAGCTTACGGATGTGGTGTCCTCTGAGCCATCTCTTCATCTTTTTTTGGCAGCAGTCTCCTACCAGATTTACTTCTAGGAATGATCTTGCATAAATCCATGGCAAGCAAGCACTTACAGTCACTATGGCTTTTCATAGGAAGGAAGCAGTGCTAAAGCACTCCAAATTCATTTCTAAAGCAGATCTTTTTTTTTTTTTTTTTTCTTTTGAGGCATCTGATCAGCCTACCTGTCTTTTTTTTTTTTTTTTTTTGTGGTCTCACACATGGTGTCAGGGGATATGGAATTTGGCAACGAAGATGTATTAGGGACACTGTACGATTGTAGCGACGGGACCACACCATTCATACTGTCATCCCATCTGTTTATACTCTTGGCCACATGTTGTAAAGGTCATGACATCTACTCACAGGGAATAACGGGAGTGTGTGATGCTGCGTATCTGGCTATGCTGCCAGCTGGCTGTGCAAAGCCTCGCTCTCGGCATGCAAACAGCATCCTCCACGTGTGTCTGGAGCAGGCCAGTATTAGAAATCACGGAGCTGACGATGGGAATGAGTTTACTGATGTCTGCCAAACCTAGTATGCTGGGTTTCGGCGCCAAGACGCATCCCAAGCATCGGAGATCAGCTTTATATTTGCTGCTCAACTGATGCAGCCGAAGACCCTTTTGTAGGTAATCCCCTTGAAATTGTTGCTTGCTGGCCGTCTGCTGGTGTGGAGCTGAAGAATGGCAGGATGAAAGAAAAGGCAAGTGGTCCTCCGTCATCCTTTGATTGCCTTTTCAGAAGCCCTCAGCTTCTTCAGGCAGTGAATTTGAGGTCTTCCTGCTTTGCACAGGAGCCCTGACAGATGTGTGGTTCCAAGAACAGCTGCTGATCAAGATCTGCGGTATTGAAGTTAGTGGAGGGCCATGTTTGAGTGTCATCTGGACTCTCCAGAGCCAGGAACTCTTGTGAAAGCTTTTAATGGGTTGAAAGTTTACACTATTCTAAATTAGTGTGAGAGGAAGAAAGAAAACAGCGATTGTAATTGGAAAAAGTGAGAATTCCCAGAGGGGCCTTGATTAATTCAAGACAAATTCTGTATGTATAAATTAGTAGAAAGTTGTTTGTTGGAATACAAAACTAAGTGTGGGTCTGTTTGTTGAAAATCCAAAAGCAGCATTTCCCAGTTCTTTTCCCTGTGCTAGCAGCCTGCAACCAACCTACTTCTTCTAAAAAAATGTTCTTTTCAAAGTTTCCTTTCAGGTGAATGTCTTGTCAGCAGGTAGATCCCTTGGAGAGCTGCCATGGATGCTCTGTGCTGAGCTCCTGGAGGGCATTTGTGCTGCAGCTTTCACTGAAGAGCTGCCGGCCTGTGCCAAGCCTGGCTAAGCCCATTGCAGTCTTGATGCTCCCTCTTGCAGTTTTAAATGTAAACTTTTAAGTGGTGTTTGTGATTTAGGAGGAAGGAAGGTGGTGTTTAGACTTTCCATGCTATGGAGGCATGGTTCACTTTAAGTCATCTTGCATCATTTCTAACTTGCGTGGCACTAGAGGGAAGTATGAATTACTTAAGACATAAACATTCCCATTGTGTGTTTCTGCTGTTTCCCAGCAGTGGCACAGCAATGCTCCTAAGTGGAGTCCACCTACTAACAGTTTAGCATTTCCATTTGACTATTTATATAGTGATGTTAAACAGAGAACAGACAATATACAGATATTCAGTAGCCATCTGGGCATCGTTCTAGGCACCCTGCTGTGGGTGTTGCTGCTAGAGCAAGAATCAGACCAGCTGGACCCTGAGGGCTCTTCCATCTCAGCCCTTCTGGGATTCTGTGATCTGTACGGATGGAAAAATTGCTCATGGTTGAGAGATTCCCATTTGCTTTCAAAGGATCAGACCAGTGCATGGGAGACCACAGCTGAGGTCCGGTCTTCTCCGTGTGAATAGTTCAGAGGATGACATTGGGTCATACCAAGATTTCCCATTTGATGTGTGGAGAAAGCATTTTGGGCTGTGATTCCCT